CCCCCCCCCTCCATCTAGCTGCACCATTGTGGGCTCAACAAAGAGGCTTACAGTCCTCCGGCAGCACTAATGGAAAAAAAAACTGGCGTTATTGAGCTGGAGCCGCTCCCTCGCCCACAAATGTAAAATGTGAGCTTTGTTTGTTCGGGCAGGACTCCAGCTGTACGAGGCAGCGGGTCGGATCCATTAAAGTCCGGGAAGACGACCTCGTTCTGACACTGAAGGCTCTGTCCGTCTTTGTGCCCGAGGAGATCGCACCGTTCTCCATCTTTAAAAGCTCTTCTGGGCTGGACTCGTCGCGCTTCACCTGCAGGCCGCCGCGATAAAAGCCTTTAATGTCGTCGCACAAAGTCCGAAAGATTCAACGCTCTGCTTCTGAGTGGGGGGGGGGGGGGGAGGGGGGGGGCAGGGTGCCTCTGGCTCCTGGTCCAGTTCATTGTGTAAATTAATCTGACGTCCAAACTAAATGAAACGATAAGTGAGGATGTGTCGGGTCAGATGGTCACTTTATCTGCAGCTTTTCACCGGAGGCACGACCCGGGTCACCGGAGGCACGACCCGGGTCACCGGAGGCACGACCCGGGTCACCGGAGGCACGACCCGGGTCATCCCTCCGATGACGACCCGGGTCATCGGAGGCACGACCCGGGTCATCGGAGGCACGACCCGGGTCACCGGAGGCACGACCCGGGTCATCAGCAGAACCTGACGGGCCGGTTGTCACAATGAGCGGGTCCAGAACCAGGAAGCAGAATTTTAATCACGCCACTGGTTTCAAATCCAGCAGGAAGAAACGGATGGAAACGTTTTATTTCTGTCGCAGCTCAGACTTTTCTGCTCGACTCAAACAGGAAGAGGTTCAGAACGAACTTCCTCATTTCTTTGTTTTTGACCGACCCGCGGGTCTGTTCAGATCGGCTCCACGTGAAGTCTTGTTTCTGACCGACCCGCGGGCCGGTTCAGATCGGCTCCACGTGAAGTCTTCTGAGCACTTTAGGTTTTGGTTGTTCCAAACGCTGACGTTTCTCTGGGTGACTTGCAGCAATAAACGCATCAGATTTCCAGCTCGGTGTGAACGGAGAGGTCCGTGACCCGGTTCTGGTTGGTACATTGTGTTAAAGCCCACACGCTGCCTCCAACACTAAAACGAGAGCTTTTTAACTTGAGGATAAAATGATGGCGAGTGCTGAACTGGATTCCTGAGAGTTCGTGTTTCTCTTGGCTGCTCCAGTTTTTTTCCTTTTAGGAACCGGACCCTGACTCTCTGACCCGGTTTCATCAGCTGGACCAGTTTTTGTTTTGCTCTTCGGCTCCAGTTTCAGCCTCGGCTGTTCTTTAAACATTTAAACTCCACGTGGCTAAAGTTTAGCTTCTCAGTGCAGACGAGTTGATCCTGACGGACGCTGAACTTTTGTCGTGGAAACAAAACGTTTGTCGTTTAAAAGCTGTACATTTTTAATTTAAAGGTTTTATTTATTTTATCTTTATTCTTTTTGTTCAACAGCTCCAAGGAGTCCCCAAACAGACCAAAGGTCCCCAAACAGAACCCCGACCCACCTCAGAACATTCCAGCCTCAAAGACTAAAACGGACCCCAAACTGCCTAAACCAGCACCAAACCAAGTCCTGGACCTGTCGAAGTCCAGTTCCAGGTCTGAGAGCGACAAGACGAGGATCAAACCCCCGAAGGCAGCCGGACCCCCAGAGTCCCCCTTCATCGGGGACTCCTACATGGAAGATGATGTCCCCCGAAAAACTGTAAGTTTGACTGAAATCTCTAGTTTTCTGAATTCTCGTGAAACATTCTGTCGTCCATTTTTCTTCCGTACGGTTTTCAACTGATTCTCGTTCAACAATTCCACATTTTTTCACTCATTTCAACGTTTTTCAGCCCAATTCAGTAAAAATGTGCTCTCTCTCCACTTCTAGTAATTTAAGCTTCTGCCTTTATTTTTTAGCTACTATTCAGCTGCTTTTCCTAATTTCTGCTTCTTCCAGCCCAATGGGGCAAATGTTTCTGCTTTCTTCTAATTTAAGCTAGTTCTAACTTTTCAGCTACAATCTTTTACCAATCTTTAGCTAACTTCAGCTTTTTTAACTAGTTTTGTGCTCATTTAAAACTAAATTCAACAAACGTGTGTTTGTTCTTCTGCAAATTGAGTCTTCTTCCATTTCAGCAATAAACATTCACGCAGTATTTTCACAGGAAATGCAACTTGTCTAGTTTTCTTTAAACCTGAACGTTCTCTGGATCGGACCATCAGAACCGCCGTCATGAAACCTGCTGAGTGGAACTCTGTGGACTTTCTGTCTCCGGGTGGACGTTGGTCCCCACGGTGCAGGACGAGACGACGTTATTGTTTTACAGCTCGTTCAAACTTCAGCTGCTTTTATTACGTTTCATAATAAAACTTCCTGTTTGGTTCCAGAAACTGCTCGGACGCTGCGTGCAGTAACTCGTGAGCGAAACGTGTTTTTATTGTTTGAACAGAGAATCGGAGTAAAATAAGTCTGAGCTGAAACCAGCAGCGAGTTCACGTTAAAGGTCACGGTGTGTTTATCGCTGGACCAGGTCTGGCTCAGAGCGTTCCAGTTAAATATTAAATAAAACGGTCCGGGTGTGGCACGAGTCTCGGGGCCGTCAACTCTGTAGAAGACGAAGACTTCACGAGTTCATGAGCCTTTGAATGAACGGCTCGATTATTTTCCATCTGCTCTCAAACTCTGCAGGAGGAACTTGAACAATGGAACCGTTCACCCTGAACCACCGCGCTGACTGTCTCGAGGTCAGAGGAACAATAGCGACCGCTTTTCAGCTGCAAACTTCTGGGATTTGTCTTGTTCCTCAAAACCAGTTCCTGCATTTTATTTATTTTGTTGATGAATATCGAGGGAGTCGATGACAATTCAAAACACGAGCTGTTCGTGGAAACTAGTCATCACTGTCGCTCTTTGTGCCAGTTAATGATCTATGAACAGTTAATATCTTACCTGTTGCAGATGGCTCTTTAAAGGACCTCATTTTGAAGAAGGTTCACCCAGACGTGTGTGTGTGTGTGTGTGTGTGTGTGTGTGTGTGTGTGTGTGTGTGTGTGTGTGTGTGTGTGTGTGTGTGTGTGTGTGTGTGTGTGTGTGTGTGTGTGTGTGTGTGTGTGTGTGTGTGTGTGTGTGTGTGTGTGTGTGTGTTCTATCTGTGAACTTTCCCCAAAATGAGGTCTTTTTAAAAACCCATCTGCAACAGGTAAGATATTAACTGTT